GTCGGCGTAGCCGCATCCAACTGGGACTGGGTCAAGGGCGCGAGGGACTTGGATCGAGGGTGACAGGGTGGGATAAAGACCACACAGGTATGACCATACAAGTGACATAAATGCTCCACATGCGTGTCCACGCCTTTAGCACCGCCTGTGTAAATGAGCATACTCTGTGAAAAATGAAAAACATAGTCAATGTTTAGGATGAGGGATGGGAGTCCAAGCCCACATGGTGTGCGGTTCATCATCGGTGTACAGTAGGGGGACATCCCATTCCTGGCGAGTCACGGTTTGTTCAAAGACATGCAAGACGCTACGACAATCACGACAATTATCTGGGATCCAATCCAGACCTTGCCCATTGGCAAACGCCTTGTCTTTTTCCTCGGTACAAGGGTTACATAACACATGGTCCAATAATCGATCACATCGTTTTTGCCACAGCACGCGTTGGGCGTTGATTTGCGAATGGGTGGGTAAGACATTTGTCTGGCGACGGAGCCATCCACTCATTTGACAAACTCTCACATGGGCACAATGATCGTGCCAGACGCCGCTCCCACGGGCCTGGTGGGAATGATCCATGCACCAATTGCGACCATGATCGTTATGAGCCATAACATTGGCGGTGGCAATAGGGAGATTGGCCAAGTCCCCACACCCCTGCCCATCCAGGACCACGAGAGGGTAGGCCAACGGGGGCTCTTGCAACATTTTAGCCAGACCATTGCGCGTGAACACCCCCAATCGTCCCCGCTGGGAGGTGAGATGCTGTTGACACCAACGGGTGATATCGTCTCGCATTTGTTCGTAGGGATGAAAGCGATTATACGCCGTGTACGGTTCGAAGGGCAAACCATGCACAGTCTGGGTTTGACGATCGACACGGGTTCGGGCTTTTTCGGATAATTGATGATACGACATGCCTTCGGGTAACAAATATTTGATCAAACCATGATGATGCCCCGTCCAATCACAAAACGCCAGTTCGCGAATAATGTATTCGTCTCGGGAAAGGGCAAACCCCTGACTGTACACCAAAAGACCCACTTGATGGAGCGTCATACTTACTGTGTTGGCTTGACTGCAATGAATGAGAGGGGTGTTGGATGCCTCGCGGGTTTTATAACCACTAGAGTGGTCGCTGATTGGTAGAGACCCACATCACACCACCCTCACGAGATCCCAGGACGAGTCCGGATTGGTGGAAAAAAGATCGTATGAGCATCACGAGGGACATCACATGAGGCAGGAGGAGGGGCTATAAAAGGCCGAGTAGACGCTCCCTGGAACTCATTCGTCCAGATGAATCGTCAAGCCACTCAACCTGCCGCGGTGCCTTCGGGACGCAAACGACGTCGCGTCAGTAAGAAACAAAAACAAGAGGAGGAAGCCCAAGCGCGAGCTGCACAGATGAAAGCGGATCATGATCAGGAGATGGCCGAGCTCGGGTTTTCCCGTGCAGAACTCGCGGAGATGAAAGCCAAACAACCCCCTACCAGTGAACTGGTGATCGCTCTCAACGCCTTGCCTAAAGCAGATAACCCGACGCCTGTGCCCACACCTTCCCCCACCGATCAATCCGTGAACGCATTGATGGAGGGCACCCTGAAAGACTATAAAGAAGAATGTGTAGAGGAAGGGACGTTTCATTCAGATCCAGCCACCGAAGTGGGAGAATGGGACATCCAGGACATAGACCAGATGGATACCCAGTTCAACCAACTCCTGTATGAAGTGTGCCCGTTTCATCCCCATCAGTTCATTCAATGTGTCAACCCCCAAGCCAGGTTTGGTCCCCTGAGATTCAAGTGTCCCCAACCAGGGTGTCCCGTCTATTTGTTTGAAGACACGCGAGAAATAATGATGGAGGCTTTAAAAAACGACACGCATCCTCAAGTCCACGCCCGTTTGAAACATGGAGAACTCAAGTGCAAGTGTGAGTTTGTTCCCAAGATGAAATTGAGTCGCACGGCCAAAAATCGTAACAAAGTGTTTTTCAGTTGTGGGAGCTTTGTCCCTGGGAGAGACCCCTGTGGCTACTTTCAATGGCTCCATGGTCCCTTGTGGTGTCCCAGAGAGCAAGCGCAACCGACCATGAGACGATGGGTCAAGGAGTCCCTTCCTCTTATGAAAGGTCCAGAAAAGGAGAGACCCTGGGGCATGCACGCTGTAGAGATGCGTTATAGTGAGAGGCCAAACCCAGCGATAGACAAGCTAAAGTATGATCCATGGTTGAAACAGTTTGGTGAGTCTGTCCAAGCCCAAGAGCAAGAGTTTGAGAGAAGGCGCCATTTGCATAAGAACTTTGGCAGTTCGTGTTTGTTTTGAAAATTCATGTAAGGTGAAAAAACTATTAAAAGACAAACTTGGACTTGAATCCTGTGTCAGTGTCTTGATGTCGTTGCCACGCGCTTACGAAGATCCCCAAGCACCTGGGGCCTTGGGTGGGGTCCAACCCTTTGCCCGAGCCCATAAATTGAAAACCCCGCAAGCGCAACAGATTCTTCAATCCGTGTTGAGCTATACGCTCCACAAACCCCGACGGACCCGATTTCCCACCACCCCCACCTTGGTCTTTGGCCGAGACGAACAATGGCAGATGGATTTAGTGGATATGCAAAAACTCAGTCGGTGGAACCAGGGGAACAAATATTTGTTGACGGTCATCGACGTCTTATCCAAGTATGCCTGGGCCGTCCCCATCAAATCCAAGAGTGCCGCCAACATGATCAAAGGGTTGGAAGCCATACGCCGACAGGCCTCGCCACGACGACCCCTCCGCGTGCAAACGGATCAAGGCCAAGAATTTTTGAATCGACAAGTCCAAGCCTGGTTCAAGAAACACGATTGGCATCATTTTTACACGTATGGAGATAGCAAGGCCTCGGTGGTGGAACGATGGCATCGTACCTTGAAACAACGCATGTACCGGTATTTCACCGCGCACAATACGTTACGGTACGTGGATGTGTTGCAACCCTTGATCTATACCTACAATCACACGTATCATCGCAGTATTGGGTTAGCGCCGCATCAAGTCACCTTTCGAAACGAGTCCGAGGTATGGGATCGACTCTATGGAGCCCGATTGAAGACCAAGATCCCCCCACCCAAATGTCGCGTGGGCGATCGGGTACGTCTCAACAAGAAACATCGTCCCTTTAAAAAAGGGTATTTGCCGGGGTGGACGGAAGAAGTGTTTGTGGTCACGCATGTGCGTCGTCATCCCGTGGTGACCTATCAGCTCAGTGAATGGGACGGCACGCCTATAAAAGGCACGTTTTACGAACCCGATGTGCAAAAAGTCCAAGTAACGGACGATTCATTGTTTCGAATCGAAAAAGTCTTGAAACGCAAAGGACGTCAGATCTTGGTCCGGTGGAAAGGGTGGCCGGCCAAGTACGATAGTTGGATTCCTGCGCAACATGGTCCGCGTCAAAATAACGCCTCGAAAAAGAAAAAAGCGGGTGCGGTTTCTCGATGAAGTCCTGGCGGATTCCAGTCGACCGCGAGCTAGTTACACGCCCTCTCCCACCAGTGACGCCGACGTCCTGAAATTCATCCAGAAGAAAGCCGCCGAACAACGGCAAACCCAACCGTGGTGGGACAAGTTGGCCAGTCCTACCAAACAGCAATGGGCCTACGCCAATGCTTACCATCGAGCTGAGGAGTATGCCAAGCAACGAGGGGCTTTACGATCCCCACCCAAGAAAAAACCACAACGCCGACGCGCTGGTCGTCATCCCCCCATGCGCAAGAAGAAACCCCCTAAACCCAAGACCTGCATGACCCTGATGGAACTGGCCCGGGCCTTTCCCAACATTGCCCAGCAAGTATGTTTTCATCCCAAACAATCGACCTTCAATTCAGTGGTGGGACGCGTCCCTCGCAGTAAACAGAAAGTGGCGACGTGGCTATAAAAAGGACCCTGCACCCTGGGGAACGCGCCTCTTTTTCATGATGAGTGAGATCAAACGCTTGACGCTCATCAGTGATCCGACCGACGAGTTTCCCAACAATGCCAACAACAGTTTCAAGGTCCGTCTGCCCGAACGCATGTCCTTACCAGGCACAGGCTGGCACGCCTCGCTCATGTCCTTGACCGTCCCGGATCAAGGCCAGAGCAATGCCATCATTGCCGCGGATCCTCATACCAAAGTGATGAAATTCAAAATGTCGTATGTGATCCGCAAGTTTCAGTCGGGCACCTATCGACGAATGGAAATCAAAACCGTGGACTGTGCGGTGGAATTGGAAGAGATCATGAATCCCACTCAAATCGTGGCAACGGGGAGTCAGTTTTGGAAACGCGTGATGCAAGAAATGCACAACAAAATGATGCACAATGTGATGGCGGAACAAATGCGGTGGCTGATCATGGAACCTGACCAAAGACCTATTGTCAGTGCCAAACAAAACGCCATGCCCCGACTGACCTGGAAAAAAGGTGCCTTGGTGATTAAGGCCCTTTCCCAAACGGATTTGCTTAAAGCGGACAAGAAAACCATCACTGACCTTTTCATCAACCTGGACATTGCGCTCAAGTTTGGGTTGGTAGAAGAAAAGATAGTCAACAACGAGACCAAGTATTACCTAGGGCCCAATATGCAATACACGCTGCCCACCAAGACGTACGATTCGACCACCCAACCCGCCGGCAATCAGTTTCGCAGTGCATACAACTGGGAAGGTGCGCAGTACGAGGGCGTCAATCCCTCCTTAATGTTTGGCAATATTCTCAGCAGTATTGAACATGATCCCATGCAGGTTCGGACCCATCAGGGTGTGAAGTTTTTGCATTTGTCCTTGCTAGTGGAATGGCAGTTGAACAACCTGGATGCCTCGTTTGAAAAGATTGTGGGAACCCGCCGACGGACCGTCATGGTCTATTCAGATCTGGTGGAATCCACGGTGGTGGGCAGTGGCAAGTATCCCCTGTTACGAGAAGTGCAATTGTTGAGAACCGGCGATGGGGAAAGTACAGCCGAACCCCTGCACCACCAATGGATCAAACTACGAGGAAATCAACTAGACATCTTGGAAGTGGAGATTGCCAGTACCAGTGGACCCTTGGCCCCTTTACCCCCCGGCAAAACCCTGGTGACCATTGGTCTCAAACAACTATAAAAAGCCACCCCACGTCTCTGGCAGGTCCAAAACACGACGTGAACCATGCGCGGAGGCAGTTTAACGCGGTACCACACGCCCGTGCTCACCCAACAAAAGGGCAAAGGCTTGGCCGAAGACTTGATCAAACTGGCGGGACCCTTGATCGTGCAGCAAGCGCAAGCGGGACTGCAAGATATTCAACGTGGCAAGAGTGCTGCAGCCACGTGGGCGGATCGAAGTGCCCAACTCAGTCGCGGCTTGAAACGCAAAGCCCCCGCCATGGCTTGGACAGCTGGCAAACACAAGGTCAAACGGACCGCTCAAAATACCTATAAAAGAGCCACGCAACGCGTACGGGATATCTTTGGACTGTGAAAAACAATGGTACGTGTAGGAGGTTTTCTCAAATCGCAAAATCGCGTTCGACGGCAACGGGCCCGTGGACGGTTTATTTCACCGTATCAAGTGGGAGGCACGATCTTTGGCAAGTCGACGACAGCGCGTTATCCGCTGATGCACACGTCCTCCCGCCAATTGGATCGTTACCTACAGCGCAGGATGAAAGGGGGCACGATTTTCGGCAAGTTCACTCGCAGGCGCCAAAATCCTTTGGGGTTCCCCACAGCCGCCGATAGGATCAATCCTGCTCCATGGAGGGTGGAACAGGCCCTGCGCCGCATGAAAGGGGGCAAGATTATTGGGGCGTTGGGCAAGGGGGATCTCCGAACAGTGTTGTGGGCCAATCAAGCCAAAGCCAGGAAGCAACGCAGGCGAAAGGGTATAAAAAGAGGACGTCGTTAAAAAACCCAGTCAAACAGATCGCACCATGTCGCTCGAACTGTTTGACGTGCCTGATGTGGATTATCGGTACGAAGCCTCGCGGGAGGTGGAGTTTCAACCCGCTTTGACAGGTATCCAACCCATCACGTTCTCCATTCCTGGCTCGGACGATTATTACGATCTCAATTCTCTCCGCTTCAAAGTCAAAGTGCGCTTGACCGATCCAGCGGCTGGGTATACAGGACTGGATGCGGGTCTACTCATTTCCAATGCCGACGAAACCAGACATGTCTACTGCGTCAACAATTTTGGTCAATCCATCTTTCGAGACATTACCATGAGCATGAATGGCGTCCTTGTGACCGAACAGAGCAACACTTACCATTACAGAGCCTACATAGAAACCCTGCTGAACTACAACCGAGAAGAAGGAGCCACCAAGCTAGCTCCCCAAGGATGGGTCAATCAGCTGAATGTAGCAGCAGAAATAGGAACCACCGCCGCCAATTCCGATGTCCCTGTGGCTGCAAACTGGAGTGGCAATGCAGAGTTACGTGCCCTGACCAGCAAGTTACTGAGTGAAAATTGGCACACCTTCATCGTGCGTCCCCATTTGCCCACCCTCCATACAGGCAAATTGTTGGTCCCCAATATCCAGTTGGACTTTGAACTGTTCCTCAACCCCAAGACTATCTACTTGATGGGTTCCCCCAACAAAGGCACCTTGACCACCAAGAAAATTCCAGCCATCCACAATGATGACATCAAAGTCACCTTGTTGATGAGAAAAGTGACCCTGAATGCTGCTGTCTATGTCAGACTGCAAAAAGAAAGACAACTGAACAAACAGATTGCCCGCTACCCTGTGGTGCGGAGTGAAATTCGCACCTTTTCCTTTGATGGACGCACCACCCAATGGGAACAAGACAATGTGTTTGTGGGACGATTTCCTGATCGAGTGATTGTGGGATTATTGCATTCGGATGCCTTCAATGGAGACCTGGAAAGATACCCTTTTGCTTTTCAAAAGTTTGGGGTCACCCAAGTACGACAGACCTTGAATGGAGAAGAATACCCTTACAGAACCCTGCAATTGACAGGAGACCAAGCCTATGAAGATTTGCTGGGCTACGATCGATTTCTACAAGCCATGGGTGTCTACAATGAACACAAGATCCCTATGCTGCTGCCTGGTGATTGGGGACAAGGCAAGAATTGTACCTTGTTCATGTTCAACAATGTGCCCAGTCAAAAAGCCGATGACCCTGAATATCGCAACCCCCGCCAATCCGGCAATACGCGATTGATCATTGATTTTGCTGCGGCTGTGGGACACAATGTCACCGTCTTGGTATGGAGCGAGTATGAAAACATGTATGAGATCAACCATCTGGGAGGTATAAAGTACAACATCAACGGCTGAGACATCAGAAGTCAAAAGACACCGAGCATGGAGTTTGTGGCACTCAGTGACACTGTGTTGCGGACCCTGGCCTTGGAAGACCCCGAATTACGACGCGTGTTTCATGGGGTGCATCCCGCCGACCAACTCCCCCGATCCCCCGCCAAGGAGATCCGTCAAGCCTACATTGTCAACACGGACCCCGCGGGAGAACCGGGCCAGCATTGGTTGGGCCTGTGGACCGAAAAGAACCAGTGCGAGATCTTTGACAGTTATGGTCTACCCCTGCACGTGTACACCACCCCGGAGTTGCACCAATGGTGGGGTCAATGGAAGTACCTGACGCGCAGTGACCAGACCCTGCAAGCCCTGGATAGTCAAACCTGTGGCCATTATGCGTTATTTTTCTTGAAAGCCCGGGCACAAGGACGGTCCTATCAAGAATTTTTGAGTCAATGGAGTTGCGATAATTTAGTGTTGAATGATCATAAAGTGGCCGACCAGTTAAAACGGGTGATTAAACAGGAATTACAAGATGAAGTGGATGCCCGACGGGATGGGGGGCAAAAGAATGTAAGCCGCCAGGCCTTTATCACGTGTCATCCTTATGCATGTTAATAAAAAACCATAAAACGAGATGTGTGGTGAACGAGTGGTCATTTTGTCTCTCATGATGATTACGCGAAGCGATGTCCAACGTATTGTGGATGCGTTCATTCTCGAAGAAACCTTGTATTGGTGGGAACACCCCATCGAACGGGTCAACACCGTGCGAGGGATTGATGCCTGGGATGGGTATCATTGGCTCATGGCCCGACAATTGGCGCAAGACCAAGATTGGGTGTCCCTCAAACAGTATATGGACAGTATGAGCGAAACGTATTTAAGAGAAACCATGGAAGGCCTGATCCAGTCCGAATCGCCACGTGTGTATCGCGAGTATTGGACAGCATGCCCCACCGCAGACGACGGCGACGACAACGACAGGGCACCCGACGACCCCGCTTTCGCCAAAACGGACGAGGCATCATGAGCGTGTTGGCCAAAGCCTATAAAATCGGGGATCAATTGGGACGCGACAAACGGTATAAACGTATGGGTGCTAAAGGAGCCACCGGTCATTATCGACGTCACCCTCGACCGTGGGAATCATGATCCGACAACCCAGTAGTGTGATTATCGCAGGCCCCTCAGGTAGTGGCAAGACGGATTTGGTGGAACAATGGTTACGGTACCTCAACGTGTTTCAAGTCAAACCCCGCAAGATTGTGTATGCCTATGATCGTTGGCAACCCCGATTCGAGCGGATGCAAAAAAAGGATGGAATTCAATTTTATCGCGGGTTACCGGACCCTCGTCATTTGACGCAATGGTTTGGTCGAACGCGTGGCGGGGTATTGGTCTTGGACGACCTGATGGAAGAAGGGGGACAAGACAAGCGCGTGTTGGATTTGTTCACCAAAGATTCGCATCATCGTAACATCACGGTGCTGTATTTGACGCAAGATTTATTCCCGCCGGGTAAATTTTCCAAGACCATCAATCGCAACGCGCATTACATTGTGGCCTTCAAAAACCCTCGGGATCAAACAGGGATACGGACCATTTTATTGCAAGCCTTTCCGGATCGGTGGCGTCAAGTGTTGCGCCTATTTAAACGCATCACGGCTCGACCTTTTGGCTATTTGATGTTGGATGTGCATCCAGCCTCGGATGATCGCTACCGTTTGTGGAGTCATTTAACGCCCCGAGAAGGCAAAGCCCAAGTCCACACTTTGCGGGCGGATGTCCCTGCCGATCGAAAACGCGCTGCTACGAGAACGCGAACGTCAACGGCGGCAAAGAGAAGGCGGACAACATACTGAGTTAGCCGCTCGCATGGACGCTCACACGCCCGCGGGGGTAGGATCCCCCTCGGTCCTCCGAGATCTCAGCAGCATGACGGACATGGTGACCGAATTGTCTCGACCCGTGGATCGTGCCCAATTGCAGCAAGACATTGAGGATTTTAATTTGACCTACCCGGTCAATGTAGACGATGCCTTGAATGCCTTCACACTCCCGCCCGTGGCAGGCACTGGTACAGCCCCTGTCACCACTGCCACCACCACCACCACGGCAGCCCCAACCCGCCCCACGACCACCACCACCACCACCAGCCGACCACGACCCGTCACGTCCACCCGAACACGCCCCACCACTACTGCCACGACCACCACTGCCCCTGCCCGCCCCTCCACCTCCCGCCGCAGTGTTGGGGCAGGAACCAGGACCACCACCTCCACGACAACGACCCCCACAGGACGCCCCACCATCGCCGCCAAACAACCGCGACGGCGCCCCAGGGTGCCCTCACCACCCTCCCCAGGTTCGTCCCCTCCGTCCGATGACGAGGATGGCGATGATGATGATGACGATCGACGGCGAGGCTTAAGGCGACGGTTGGATTTGCTCAATGAAGATGCTCAAGAACGGGCACGAGGTCGACGGATTCGCAACATCACGCACACCAATACGGTGACCACCGTGTATGAAGAGGGGGGTCGTCCCTCGGTGCGCCGCACGTCCACCCGAACCTCCAGCCCAAGTCCACCCAGACCACCACGCCGAGGACGGGGCCGTGGCCGAGCACGCGGACGGGGCCGAGCCCGTGGACGAGGTCGTAGTATATAAAAACAGGGACCTTTCTTCCCCTGTCCCAAAAATGTGTGGCCGTTGTGGACACGCGATGGCTCGGAAACGCAAACGCACCACGACTCGACGATTATCACGTCGACGGAGGATCAAGGGTGGGAAGGCACCGTTTGTCGTGGATGTCAAGAAAGGCTTCAAGTTGTTGACAAACCCGGCCATGTGGAAGATTCCGTCCAAAGCCGACATACAGTCCGACAAACGACGAGTGGCCAACTATAAACGCCAGTATCGCGCCAGTGGTACTAAGGACTCGTACAACAAGTGGTTGGTCAAGAAGGGGTATGCCAAAAAAGTGGGTGGATGCAGTTTGATGTGAAAATGTATAAAAAAGAGGCTCAAAGTGTTCCGCTCTCCAAACGAGTCGTCATGAGACCTAGACGGAAACGCAAACGCACTAAACGACGACGGCGTGTGAGTCAAGTGGGGGGTGTCGCGGCCAGCCTGCCTATAGGCATTTTCAAAGCCGGTTATGCTGGTACCAAAGCCATCGGGGAGCATCAAACCAAGCGTGCCATCAAAATTGGTGAAAAACGTCGACGGGAAGTGGCTTCCGGCAAACGGAAAAAATATGCGGGAGAATCCTTCAATTGTTCCATCATGTAAAAAAGTATAAAAGAAACGCCTGGTGGGACACCAGACTCCATTGAAGATGGTCCGTGGCCCCAACGGTCGTCGACATCGTTATGTCCCTCGAATACGACGCCGCCGACGTGGACGCCAACGCGGTGCTAAACTCCCGCTGTTGGCAATGGCTCTCTCGCCTTTGTATCTCCGGAAATTCAAACCCAGAATCCGACTACGACGCCCAGACTAACCGACGACGCCCCAAACGCAAAGCCGTCACGTTTGCGTTGGATTGGGATGACCAGTATGACGCCGCTTTGTGTGCCCGGTGTCGACATCACATGCAAACGCATTATCATGGGGAATTGTGTGGTCGGTGTGGCGCCATTTTTACCATAAATAGACCTTGGTCCTTGCCTGAACTCAAGATTCATCATGGGGTGGCGCATGGAACGTCAAGCCCCGTTCTTAAAAAGTGTCTTACGAGAAGCCAATCAACACAAACGACAAGAATTGTTGCGGATGGCCAATGCGGATCAGATCAATGCTGTCAGTGAATTGGTGATGAATACCCTCCGTGGCACGGTGCCCCGTTCCCGACACACCATTACGTTGCTCAAACCTCACGCTCAGAGTTTACGCGCTATGGCCAAACCCGCTCATTCCGTCAAACGACGACGCGCTATCATGATGGCTCAAAAAGGGGGTACCCTCTGGCCCGAACTCTACCGATGTTATAAACGTTGCATGAGCTAGACCCGACGCCTCAGTTGCACTATGGAACCCGAGATGGTCAGCACCACGGTGAACAACGCCCCGGCTTTTTTACAATTACGAGACCAGTACAAACAAGAATTGGTGGAAGACACTCGCTTGACCAAAGCCGCCGATTTAGCCGCCAAACAACATGTCCTTCTGACCAGTGATGCCCCCGATGCTTGGAAACGACCTCAACTCAAAGCCGTCAGCCGTCAATTACGCCATTGGACTAAAAAAGTGCGCCAACCTTTTGGAGCTGCTGCTGGGGGTGTGACTGCTGCCGGGGCCACCACCCCGGGCGACGATGATTTTGAAGCAGGTCCTATGCAAGCCTGGTTCACGCAATTGGTCAAGGCCACCCAGGGTATAAAACAAGGCACCCCAACACGCGGACCCAGAAAACCCCCTGTCCCGCCTAAACCAAGGTTCACCCCTAGTGCCAAAAAGAAACTCAAGTTTACGACCCCGTTGAGCAGTGAAGAATTGGCGGACGAGTTGCCCTTTTCGGACACCACTGGTGTAGAACCGTGGGATACCCCTAAAGAACGTGTGGACACCATCAAGAGAAAAGCCCTACGTGATATTCGCAGAAAAACCACGGACAGTGCTAAAAAGAAAGCGGCGGGGATCGCCAAAAAGAAAGCCGCTGGTTGGGCCAAGAAAGCCTTGGATTGGAAATCGTGGAAAACCCCCTAAAAAATGGGACGCAAACGCCGTGCTGCGGCCTCCCGTTCCCGAGCCAAGCGACGACGACGACGGTCGCAACGGGGCGGCAAGTTATTTGATGTGCAGAACCTCCTCAACAAGACCGGTATTGAATTTCATTGGCCTGGTTATCAGTATATGGGCCCTGGCACTCATTTGAAAAAACGATTGGCCCGTGGGGATCCCGGCATCAACCGGTTGGACAGGATTGCCAAAGCTCATGACATGGATTATGATAAAGCCAAGACGTTGAAAGATAAATGGGCCGCGGATCGCAAGATGATTGCCAAGATTGATCAACTCCCCGGCAGTAAAAACTTAACAGAGCGTATTGTGAGACGCATTATGAAAGCTAAACTTCGATTCGGCATGTAGTCATAAAAAACAAGACACTATGTTCAATAGCCCAATACACATGATTTAATTAAACTTTTGTTCTTACAAATACGAGTCCATTTTTTGTAAAGCCTCCGCGCGAAGGGTTTGCACACTGTCCTCATTAGGTACCATGAGGGGCAAGTCCAATGGCAACCATGGGAGGGGAAAGGGACGCTCTAATGCCTCGTCCAACCAGGACCATTCTCGACGTCGAATGGCTTCCATTCGCTTTTGGTACCTCTGTTTTTGCAACGCTTTCCACCCTTCCTCGCCCAATTCTTTTCTTTTCTGGGCGGCCTGCTCTCGTCGATGAGCATTGGTCCGTTGCAGATAAGCCTGGTAGGTCCCTCGCTCTTTCATTTTCTCCCGCCAGTTTTTCTGACACTGGGCGTTTTTACGTTTAGTTTCCTCCCGCCGTTCCTTGCTCATGCCGTAGTAGCGCTGCATGCCCTCTTGGGATTTTTTAGCTTTGAAGGCATCGTACTCACCACTGACTTTCAACCGGGCCATGCGTTCGTGATATCGGCGACGGTGAAGGGCCTTGACATCCTCTATGCCGTTGGGTTTGGCATACAAGCGTTGCCGATACGCTTTTTGCTGCGCTTTGTTTTTCACAGGGTCCCGTTTTTTCCTGGGTTTGGGGGGCTGGCGCGATCCTAGTGTATCCATGGTCCAACTCTAATACTTTGGCGGCACACACGTCAGCCAACGCTCTCAACTTTCGAAAAGGACTGGGCGAGATCTGTTTGTTTTGGGCACGACGGTCCCGTTGTTGTTGGACGATCTTGTCGCGGTGTCGATGGTAGTACTTGCGGTTGAGTGCCCGTACTTGATCTCCGTGTGTGGCTCGGTATCGGTTACAGGCCAACCGGTTCAATTCACGAGCTCTGGCCAACTGTTCCTGGGTCGGAGGCGGTTTGGGTGGCTTGGGCGGTTTGAGTTTTTTCTGAGCCGCCCGCTTCTCCCGTTTCTGTGTCACAATCCTCTCCCTGTGTTTTAGGTACCACCTATGTTTAGCCTCTTTCACCTTCTCTGGATCTTTCGGCATGTCTCGAACGCAACTGACGTCTGGTCTGAACGAGGGTCTATATCTAGCCATCTTTCCGCCAATCACTGCTCTCGGTCCAGGCTCAGAGGAGACTGGAAAATTCTGTACCCATGGGGGGCACCCCCCTCAATCCTCCTCCTGTCTATTCAACCCCTCACCTGACCCTCACCTGACTCTCACCTGAGCCCCATCCGCCAATCCCTGTTCATTTGATCACGTGTTTTTTTGGGTCTATAAAAGTCCGCGTCTGGCGCGGGAACATTCAAATTGCCTCCTCCGTCATGGCGGAGGACCACTGGTATGATGACAGTGATGAAGAAGAAGAAGCTCTATTAAACCGCGCTTATGACCGGTGGGAACAATTGGGCGGAGCCGTTCCCGCTCGAGGCCCTCTCTTCCAATTTATCATGCAACCTATTGGTCGACGACGCCGCTGGCGGAATGTAGTGGAACGCGCACAATTCAATGCGCAATTGCGTCAATTGCGGGATCCTGGTCCTGGAGATAATATTGGGATGGCCCTCACGGAAGCCTTGCATCAAGCCATTGAAACGGAACTCGACCGCGAGCAGCGACCTGCCCATCATTTTGTGAACTTTGCTATTACAGCCCATGGGTTCACTCACGCGTATCAAACCGCCAATTTTACTGTGGGAGAATTTTTACAACGTACGGCTCGTTTGGATGAGATGTTGGCTACCCTAGCTGGCAAGTTGAATAGCAATGAAGCCTTCAACCCCGATCGCGGGTTCCAAGTGGATGTAGTGTTTGTCTCCATGCCCGGCCCAGGGTCTGGTCGACATAAACAACGCAATGTGGGACGTTTATGTTTGGATCGAGTCAACAAGAAAAAGAGATGCATTGTCCCCATCCAAAATAGAGATACTTTATGTTGTGCCCGCGCTATTGTCACCATGCGTGCTCATTGCCATAAAGATCAAGGCGTGGACGGGTTTCGCGACTGGGAGAACCTCAAACGTGGTCGTCCTGTACAGCAACGTCAAGCCCAGGCTCTTCATCAGCAAGCGGGTGTGGCGGAGGGTCCCTGTGGCATCCCCGAGCTTCGTCAGTTTCAACAAGCGTTGGGACCTCACTATCAACTCTTGGTGATGACCCGGATGAAACCGTTCTTTTTGATTTTCAAAGGCCCTGACGCCCCTCATCAGATTCGTTTACTCAAGTCCAACGATCATTTTGATGGTTGCACGTCTTTTCCTGCCTTTGTCAATCGCTCCTATTATTGCCTGGACTGTGAACGAGGGTTCAACACCGACGATCGGACCAATCATACTTGTCAAGGGAGACGTTGCTCTGCGTGTGGACGTTTTGATTGTCCGGATTATGTGCGTGGCACCCGCCCCACCGAGTATTGCAGTCTGTGTCACCGCAAGTTTTATGGCCCTCAATGCAAACGTTATCATGAAATCAGTGCCCAATGTCAATC